ATTAACTAGGATATCCAGGACTTGAACTCAGCTCTGGACCAAGTGGACCAGACATCTATTAAGACATCTACAGAACTCTCCATCCCAAATCAACAAAATATACATTCTTCTCAACACCATATCTCACTCATTCAAAAATTGACCACAAAATTGGAAGTAAAACACTCCTCAGCAAATGTAAAAGAACAGAAATAATAACAGTCTCTTAGACCACAGTGTAAACAAATTAGAACTCAGGATTCAGAAACTCATGCAAAACTGCACAACTACATGGAAACTGAACAACCTGCTCCTGAATGACTACTGGGTAAAAACAAAATTAAGGCAGATGTAAAGAGGTTTTTTGAAATCAATGAGAACAAAGACACAACATACCAGAATTTCTGGGACACATTTAAAGCAGTGTGTAGAGGGAAACTTATAGCACTAAATGCCCACAAGGGAAAGCAGGAAAGATCTAAAATCGACACCCTAACATCACGACTACAAGAACTAGAGAAGCAAGACCAAACTAATTCAAAAGCTAGCAGAAGACAAGAAATAACTAAGATCAGAGCAGAACTGGAGACAGACATGAAAAACTCTCCAAAAAAATTAATGAATTCAAGAGCTGGTTTTCTGAAAAGAGCAACAAAATAGATAGACTCCTAGCCAGACTAATAAAGGAGAAAAGAATCAAATAGATGCAATAAAAAAAATGATAAAGGGGATAACACCACAGATCCCACAGAAATACAAACTACCATCAGAGAATACTATAAACACCTCTATGCACATAAATTAGAAAATCTTGAAGAAATGAGTAAATTCCTGGACACAAACCCTCCCAAGACTGAACCAGGAAGAAGTCAAATCCCTGAATACGCCAATAACAAGTTCTGAAATTGAGGCAGAAATTAATAGCCTAGCAACCAAAAAAAGTTCAGGACCAGAAGAATTCACAGCAGAATTCTATGACAGGTACAAAGAGGAGCTGGTAACATTCCTTAGGAAACTATTCCAAACAATAAAAAAAGAGCGAATACTCCCTAATTCATTTTATGAGGCCAGCATCATCCTGATGCCAAAATCTGGCAGAGACACAACAAAAAAAGAAAATTTTAGGCCAATATCCATGATGAACATCTATGAGAAAATCCTCAATAAAATACTGACAAACCAAATCCAGCAGCACATCAAGAAGCTTATCCACCACCGTCAAGTCAACTTCATCCCTGGGATGCAAAGCTGGTTCAACATATGCAAATCAATAAACATAATCCATCACATAAAGAGAACCAATGACAAAAACTACATGATAATCTCAATAGATGCAAAAAGTTCTTTGACTAAATTCAGTAGCCCTTCATGCTAAAAAGTCTCAATAAACTAGGTATTGATGGAATGTATATCAAATTAATAAAAACTATTTATGACAAACCCACAGCCAATATCATACTGAATAGACAAAAACTGGAAGCATTCCATTTGTGAACTGTCATAAGGATGCCCTCTCTCACCAATCTTATTCAACATGGTATTGGAAGTTCTACCAAGGGCAATCAGACAAGAAAAAGAAACAAAAGATATTCAATTAGGAAGAAAGGAAGTCAAATTGTCTCTGTTTGCAGATGACATGATTGTGTATTCAGAAGACCCCATCATCTCAGCCCAAAATCTCTTTAAGCTGATACGCAACTTCAGCAAAGTCTCAGGATACAAAAACAATGTGCAAAAATCACAAGCATTTCTATACACCAATAACAGACAAACAGAGAGCCAAATCATGTGTGAACTCCCATTCACAATTGCTACAAAGAATAAAATATCTAGGAATACAACTTACAAAGGATGCGAAGGACCTCTTCAAGGAAAACCACAAACCACTGCTCAAGGAAATAAGAGAGAACACAAACAAATGGAATAACATTTCATACTCGTGGATAGAAAGAATCAATATGGTGAAAATAGGCATAATAACAAAAGTAATGCAGAGATTCAATGCTATCCCCATCAAGCTACCATTGACTTTCTTCACAGAATTGGAAAAAACTGCTTTAAATTTCATAGGGAACCAAAAAAAAAAAAAAGCCCACATAGCCAATAGAATCTTAAACAAAAAGAACATAAGCTGGAGACATCATGCTACCTGACTTCAAACTATACTACAAGGCTACAGTAACAAAACCACCATAGTACTTGTACCAAAATAGATATATAGACCAATGAAACAGAAGAGAGGATTCAGATATAACACCACACATCTACAACCATCTGATCTTCTACAAACCTGACAAAAGCAATGGGGAAATGATTCCCTAGTTAATAAAGGGTGTTGGGAAAACTGGCTAGCCACATGAAGAAGGCTGAAACTGCATCCCTTCCTCACACCTTATATAAAAATTAACTCAAGATGGATTAAAAACTTAAATGTAAGATCTAAAAACCACAAAAACCGATAACTTCAGCAGTAATCAATATAGGACCCCTGGTAACATTAAGCAGTAACTTGAGAAATATTTATTCACGAACCACTGTTGCACATGGGGCAAGAAATTTATAAGATTTATATGTACAAAAATGTTTATAAGAAATTTCCAAGGTGACTTCTTTATCTTAAATACTATGATTATTTCTAGATACATAATATACATTAGCATCAAAAATGTTTATAAAATAACCTATTCAGGGAATGTAATGCTTCCATAATTAACACAGCATTTGCAAACACTTGCATATTTTTAAAGTGCTATTTAAATACCTGATTTTCTTAAATAGGGAAGATACTGCATTTGAAACCTTATTTACAAAGGTTGCCAGGACACTTTAATATATGCTGTTGTAGTCCAAGCTTATGTCATAAAATATTCATAAACATAAAACTGCAAGGATCATAATTAGCTAGATTATTCTGCACATGGAAAATCAGAGTAGTAATATCACAGCTCTTGATATTTATTTATTTATTTTTTCAACAACCATTATTGATTACCATGTGCCAAACACTGTCCTAATTCCTTTACATGTATCAATTCATTTAATCCTCAAAACACTACTAAAATGGAGCTGCTATTATCATGTCTGTTTTATAAGATGAGGAAACTGAGATGTAGTAAGAGGTTGACTAACTTGCCCTAAGGCACTAAGAGGCAGTGAGAGACTAACTTGCCTAAGGGTAGTGTATGGCTTACAGTCTGGATTGAAATTAGCTGACTCCCAAGCCTCATGCTCTTATCTACTCTGCTCTGTTACCAGAGCTTGTAAACCTATGCACCTGTGCTGTAAGGCAAAATACCCAGAGGGAAATGAAGGCAGTTATTAAAGAAAGGAACGTATCTTATTTTCCTTAAATACAGGCATACGTATATGAAAATACAGACCAACCCTCACACTCAGGCACAGTCCTCATATACACACAAAACCAAAAGAAGAATATCACCAGAATAGTAGGGATTTGAAGTTAAGCCTTTAGGGTTTTTAGATAAAATTTCTAGTGCGTTGACTTAAAAACACAAAAACGAATCATCACAAATGCTATATAATGAGCAAATGTATTACGTATATAGTATCAATCATAGGCAATACCAAAATTTGTTCTATATATAGTATAGCGTGTAGTATAGATACAGCCTTTATTTACCTGCTTGAGTTATTTTCTTTCTAATTTAAGGGTCCTCTCTTCTATCTTAAATAAACAGGCACCAATTTCATTTTCCAGAGTTTTTTTAGCTAAATCAGCTTAGTCCTATGGCGTTCCTGGTCTATAATATCACACATTCCTGTGTTCCTCATCAAGCATCTTTCCTCCATCTACAGTGACATTTTTGTTCTTTTTCTGCACATTTGAAGACTTCATACTTGGATTCTGTATTTTACCTGTTAATGCTGAGATATTATCTTTGAAAGAAGTTTTTATATCAACTAAACGTGTTTTATATGGTGGAGATGTTCATGTCAGGCCTCTAAAACATCCTCATACATTTATCAAAAAATTATGATAGAGCTCCACTGAACAATGAAAATGCCAAGAGACATGAAATGGGATAAAATAAAGGACTTCAGAAACCCCTTGTTAGTGAGAAAACATACAGGCATAGAACAAGCACAAGCAAACGTCAATGTCTCCAATGAGACTGCGGCAGTTAAAAGAAAACTGGAAGCTAATGGCAGGCTAGATAAGAAGCAGCTCTCTCCAGTGAATCACATGACATTCCTTTCTGGGAACCCAGAGTCTGTCCTATGCTTCCTAGTGTGCTTCTAAGCTAGGCTTTACAGCAAAGAGACAATTTCGTTTAACTTTTTAATTAACGTGTGTCCTTGCTGATAGACATTGTGAATGAAGCACTTTTTCCTTTCCGTTATGGCTTAGAGTTTAGATTTAATTACTGTGGAAATGAATCAAGAAACATGGCTTCGGGCACAGCATTTTAAATGTCGGCAGAGTAACCATGTTAGTCCTCTATTTTAAAGTATCAGTGTCATCCCACCTTTATGATAAGTGATTTGAAAATAATTTTAGAAAGTAGGTTTACTGACCCAGCAACTCTGTGGGCCGTGGAAATATCATCTGTTAGTTGTAATTTGGAAAGCTTTTGTTTAGATAATGAGATTGTTTTATTTTGCAAGTACTCATAAATATTTATGTGTCATGAACATTTGCTCTTACAGTGTTACATGTGAAATTTTTGGGACCCTTTAACTTGAGCCAATGAGCTAATGAAATATATAATATATATAATCATGCATTTTATCAAATGTGTTCACAGCCACATTTTCTAAAACAAAAAGTTTAGAAAAGTAGCCTAAAATGGGTACAGGGAATATAGATAGAGAAAAAATTATTATACAAGTAGAGAAAATTATCTGTCTCTCATGTCATAAACTATAAGCCATGAAAATACAGTGAGGTTCTGAAATATTTAGTCCTCCAGTAAAATATGTATTTTGAAAAATAAAAATAAAAACAATGCCAAATGATCTTAAAAGAAAAAAAACTTGAAAAAAAAAACCATGTGAGATACCTTCTCATGCAATCCAGTGCTCGGATGAAGAAGTCCTTGTGCAGCTGGTGCTCATCTCTCAAGATGGAGCACTGTTCAAGTGTCACTGACATCGATGTCCTGTCTTTGGCACTTTTACAACAGGTGAAACGAATACCGTTGAGTTTGCGGCAAATCTGTAACACACAAGTAAAAACAAACCTTTATTGTTCATTTGTAATACTGTAAAGCATTGGGTTCCTCCAAACACTTCTACTCTAAACATATCAAACATAAATCTGAGTTTGTTTTAATTTATGATAATCACTTAGTTCAATCAGTCTCATCGAATGTAAAAGCATTACCTTTTCATTTAAAAAGCCAACATAATGGACCTAAATTATTTAGCTCTTTGTACATGAAGTGAGGGACTGCTGAAGCCATGTAAGATATGAAATATCCAGCAGAGGACACAGTGCACTACTCAAGGAGGTACATAGTCTGCAGTGGATGACAATGCTAAACTAATCCCAGCTCAGACACAATGCCTTCATTGTAAAAGGAAAAACAAAACAAAACTCTATTCCCTGGACCAAACAGTTGATTAGAATCTTAAATAACTAATACTCTCTTATTTTACATATAAGAAATATTTGCTAGTCTTGGTTTTATGTTATGAGATTTTAAACATCTGCATGGTGTCTCACAGCAGACAAGGGAACTACTCATCAATTAATTTATTGCACATAGGCTGTGCACTAGGGTACAACATTAAGAAATTTCATATACATTTGCTCTTTTTAATAAACTTCACAGGGGCCGGATGCAGTGGCTCATGGCCATAATCCTAACACTTTGGGAGACCAAGGCAGGGGGATCTTTTGAGTTCAGGAGTTTGAGACCAGCTGGGGCAACATAACGAAAGCTCCTATTAATAATAATAATAATAAAAATTAGCTGGGCATGGAGATGCATGCCTGTAGTCCCAGATACTTGGGAGTCAGAGATGGGAGGATTACTTGAGGCTGTGATCGTGCCACTGTACTTCAGCCTGGGCAACAGATTGAGACTCTGTCTAAAACAAAAACAAAAACAAAAACAAAAACAAACAAACAAACAAAAAAAACCTCCCAAATTAAAAATAAATAAACTTCATAGGAATTCTAGAGGGAGGTATAATTATTTTCATTTACAGATGAGGAAACAGAGGTTTAGGTAGGTTAAATAACTTGTATATAACAGAGCAAAACCAGGATGCAAACAGAGCTCTATTTAAGTTCAAGGATCAAGTCTTTCAACATCTGTTATGTTCCGTTTTCCTCTATGGTTCTTTCTTTTTGTTACGCTGACTTAAATCAGAGAAAAATCACTGGGCAGCAATACCCTCTTGTCTCACTGTCTTATGGCCAATAGGGAATCATTCCATTCCTTTCTCTTCTATCCCATGGTAGGGTTCTAATATGAGATAACAATAATCAACAGGCATTACAATGCTAATCAGTGTGCATTTAAAATAGATCTAATGTGATATAAGAAAGGTCTTCTTTACTTTCTGTCATCAAGAAATCTTTAAAAGTTGTCTACTTTTGAGAGAAGGTAAAATAATACAGCTAATCTAGAATTTATTACCATGTTTTAATTGTAATTCTGATACTTAAACTTGAATTTATACATCCCTATTAATTAAGAACTTTGGTATTTCTATTTCCAGTAGAAGTGACTAGAAAAATGTGAGAGCATGATTTCACCATCCAAGCTTTTTACATCTAAAAAATTCTAATCCTTTCAAATAAACAGTATTTCATTTTTTTAAATTCCTGACTATATTCATAATAATAAAATAGACCATAGTGGCTATTTATAAGATATGATTTTTAAACTGAATTAATATTCTTTAAAATTTATTGTTACTATTATTTAAACTTGTCCTACTTAGAATATTTAATGTTCTAAATTTAAAGTCTAGTGGAGGTAAGGGCAGTTTCATCAGAGTATACAGAGTAGGCCTTGATTTCTATATTTCTACAGTACCTGAACTATTAATTTAACACATTTGATTGTCATTTGTCCTCTTTAAATCCTCACTTTTACTATTTAAAGAAGATAAAATAAAATAACTTTATATTTTTAGTTAGAATGTAAAATATTAACTAAAGCAGTATTTCATTAAATACATTTTTTAAAAAGAGGAAAATTTAAAAAACATTAACACAATATTTTTAGAAAATATCAAAAGTAATTTATGTATTTTTTTATTTTAATAGTATCATTAAAGTCCATGATTTACAAATAGAATATTGAAACGGAGGCATTACACAACAGAAATGCTACTAATCATTCATTCAGTGGTAAATTGTGAGAAAATCATATTTGTTCAGTATACACATTTCAAAAAACTATTTTAGAAATGTGCGGGATTTATAGAAAAACTTCTTCATACATTAAAATGGGAAATTGCATGTACTAAGAGAAAATATACATTCATGTTTACATGTGTGTATCCTTAATTTATCTATTTACATAACTTCACAATTTATACATAATGACACATTTGTAAGTTTGTAAATCATCAGATGGCATGAATATCAAATTATCTTCATGCTATCATGTTTTTAGTAAAATAGAAAACACAATTTATGACCTACCATTGTGAAAATTTATTTAGAATAACAACCATAATGGTCTTTGAAGATACAAAGAGCAGCCACACTATTAAAAACAGCCTTCATGTAGTATGGTATGGTGCTAAATGGGACTAGTATAAATGAGCTGCCTGAAAGCAACATTTCATACTGTTACCTTTGACATTTTTCCCTGGGGCTGCAAGAGGGCATGAAGGGAAACTAAAGAAGCTTTACTCTGCCTTGCTTTTGGTTAATTATCTCATATGGCTTCATGGTAAATCATCCACTCCTTTTTCCCAGAAGAAAGTAAGTAATATTGAATTGTAATTGAAGCACTGGCAGTAGGGAAAACTATCTGTTTTAAATGCTATGGATGGAGAATAAATAGAGTATGCTAGGAGCATGGTCAACCTGAGCTCCAAATTATCAGAGTAACACTGCAGAAACTGCAAACATGGCATTTATCATTAAGATTTTTAACATGTACCTTTCCTGATGGAAGGATGCATTCCCAATGAAAGGATGTTTGGGTCTCATTGTTTAAAAGTCACAAATTTCATGTTAGCTACGACTCAATGGTTACCAGATAAGAGCTTTAAAAATACAGGCATTTCTCTCTCTCTAATTCTTACAGAAACCTGCGGTGAGAACACAGGCAGATCTTTTACCCTAAGGATACCATTAAATGAGAAAGAGCTATACAAAATATAGCTCATTACCCAAGAGCAATCCATCAGTGATGAATTCTATGCCAATATCAAATTAACAAACACATTTATAAGCTCATTAACTGAAAAATATGTCCAGGAGCCTTACTAAAGCTGTGAATCAGAGATCTGATAACCACATTCTGTTGAAACCATATGTCTCTAAAGCAGCAGTTCAAAATCCTAGGTGATACGGGCAATTGACACTGTGACATGCCATATCAAGAAACTCACAGATGCTTCCTCAGAGTGGCGAACACATCCAGGGTTGGCAAGAATAGCAAATGAGCAAGATTCTTTCTTCAGTGCATCTCCTACCATCTTATGTTCTAGTCTATGGACACAACTATCAACAAGAGTGAAAATGCCTAATCCACAGAATAACAGAAGGAAGATAACACCTGGTAACCCAAAGTGCAGAGGTTGGACCTTGCACAACAGAAAACTGATGATATTTGCTGGTTAACGTGGCAGAAAATCAGATTTGTCATGAGAATGCTTACCGTTGCAGCCAGCCACATAATTTCTACATTCTTTCTTTTTTTGGATTGGATATTTTGATGGAGATTTTCTAGTAATCCTTTTAAATCATTTTGTTCCTGAAAATGCGAAATGTCTGAAGGAGAAAAAAAACAAAGGAGAAAAATAAAATGAAACAGTGTTCACATTAAGCTGCCCATGGAGTTTTTTTCAATACATTTATTTGCAAACACAACCTTTTTTTTTTAGACAGAGTCTTGTCTGCCACCCAGGCTAGAGTGCCAGCGGCACCCGATCTCTGCTGACTGCGCCCAGCTCAATCTCTCAGGCTCAAGGGATCCTCCCACCTCAGCGCCCAAAGTAGCTGGGATTACAGGAGCACATCACCATGCCCAGCTACTTTTTGTTATTTTTTGTAGAGACAATGTTTGGCCATGTCACCCATGTTCTCGTCTCAAATTTCTGAGCTCAAACAACCTGCCTGCCTTGGCCTCCTGAAGTGCTGGAATTACAGGCGGAAGCCACTGCACCCAGCCTCAAACACAATTTTTATAACAACACATATCATTTGAAGCAGCGTATCTGAGGATAACTATACTCTGTAATTTCTCTGATTTTATTCTTTACTTACAAATATGCTTAAGCCTCTCATTCTCTATTCTGTATAACTATGGTAATATTAAGCGGTCCTATAGTACTATTTTACCAGCATTTTGGACAAAGATGATGGCTTCTGTCTCACTTTAACAAAAGCTCTCAAGACATAGAGATCATGAGACATAACTTTCCTTTTTTTTTTTTTTTTTTGCCATTGAGTACCTATTCTGAATCAAGAGATTCTATTAAATTGAACATCTCAGGGGTGGGAGAAATCTGAAAGTTCAAATAAAGTACATGAAGTCAGTTGCTACACAGCAAGTTTCCTTGAACTCGGCACTATTAACTTCTTGAATCAGGTAATATTTTGCTGGGAGGAACACCATACTGTGCATTAAAGGATGTTTCATAGCCTCCTTGACCTCCACCATTCACATGCCAGTAGTAGCTTTCCCAAGGTACAGTATAAACTGCCTTCAGACACTGCCAATGTCTCCTGACAGAAAAATATATCCTGCTTGAGAATGACTGCTATAAAGAAGCACAGATATGACATGGAAAGAAGAAACACATGAGACTATAAACATTATGACATAATAAGCAGGAAATGACACTGCTTTCTCGGATTTCTACATACTAATAACTAAAGCATAGGTAATAAATGGCATACATTTTATATGAAAACTGGATGCAATGCACATTATGACATAAATATCCCTGAGATTTGGTGAGATGGGATTCAAGATTACAGTGATAGAAACAAAACAATTTTCTAAGGAAATGGTTGGGTTACTACTGCATAGTATGAAAATACCCTCTACTGTTGAATCCATAAATTGAGAGAGAAATTTCTAAGAGCTTTAACTGAGGCTAAAAACAGAAGAAAATACAATGGACTACATTATCAAGTTTCATTGAAGAAACAGATGACATATTCCTTACAGGTTCACAAAAACTGACATAATTGAATTTTAGTAGTAATGAGGCTTTGTACTTGTTCAAATTTGTACCCGATGTTGCAGTTTGGAAAAATAATGTATCTGAATAGTTTTAGTTTGTGACTTTAGCTCCAGAGAATAGAGGAAGTATCCCAGTGAACTATACAAACGATCTATATCTAAGAGCAGAAGTGGTTGGTAAAGTGGAGATTTCCATTGAAAATAATCATCTCATCTTGGATTTTATGACCACAAAATAGAGAAAGGTTGGGTACAATTCAGATATATACTCTGGTTTAGGAAAGTGACATTCAAAACACTCATATGAAATATATGCATGATTCCACTGAATTTGTTTCTAAAAGGGAAAGTTGTCAAAAGTCAAATCTTTACTATTTAAGTACAGATGATTCTCGTACTAAAGAGAAAGTTTGAGTGATGACATCACATTGCAAGGTAGAAGGTTCTCTGATATACAGGAATTTTAACGGGATACAACCCAAAATAGCCTCAAGATAAAGGGAGGGAAGCCAAATATGGAATGCCTTGAAGGGAGTTATAAAATCAGCCCAGGGCTGGTGGCTGATCAAAGAAGTTAAGACAATAATGCTGCTTTTTAATTTATAGTCATGGTATGCAAGAAATAAGAAGTCAAGTCCACCATCACTGCTTTTAATGTTGATAAATGGCAACCAAAACAAACCCAGGAGAAGCCATAAATTAGAATTATAAGCAGCCATTAAAAATTATGTGAAGGTATATCAGTGACATAGAAAGTGTCCTTGACATTGCTGAAAAGAAGAACTGGTCAGATTAATGAATGAATTTATCTGTGTAACGTGTATATGTGTGTGCACATGCATGCCTGTATATATGTTGGCTTCTCTTGGCATATGTATATAGGCAGAATGAAACATTAGTTTAGATATTAACAGTGGCCATCTTTAGGCTGCACAGCTTAGTGTAATGTTTCAACTGCCTTTTCATATAATTTTAAATGAACAAGTATTGTTTTTAAAAAATACAGTGATTTTAAGAGCAATGAGGAACAAAGAATGTTCATGAGAAAATAAAAGAACTTAAATTCTTTTTTTTTTTTTGGCATAATGGTAAAACAGTTCATTATATTCTGAAGAACCTAAATTCTTATGATATAAAGACCTGACTTCAAAATTTCCATGGTCTAGTAGAGTAGTATGGATATTTAAACTATTATTAAGTGCAGGAAAGTATACTGCAGGATATGACATAACTCAGTAAAGATCTGTGAAGAGAGAGAAGCATTGGACAATTCTACAAGAACAGGTGGGGGTGGGAGAGCATCTAGCAAAGATAATGCTTCATGTCTACTAAGAACGTTTGAGGCTGAGGGGAAAATAGCAAAGGCGCAAGGCATGAGCCAGTACTGTAGAAACAGGGAGCGTGTAGTTCACAATGTCCTTGGAGTGTACAGTCCTGGGGCAATATTTATGAAGGATAATCCTGTTCTGCTATGCTGGGGAATCAGGCCTTCGTCCTAGAAAATGCCGGCAACTGGTGCTTTAAACAGGGACTTAACCCCTTCTGGAAAGCCCCTGAGCTTCTTTCTGAAGTCAGGCTTCTACAAATGACTTTCAAAGGTTTTTGAAAGCAATACAGAATAGGAAGTTTTCTTTAATACAAGATGAAGACATCACATGTGTTCTGGAGAGCTGATGCATAACAACTACAATTAACAATACTTTGTTATGTATTTGAAATTTGCTAACAGCGTAGATTGTAAATGTTCTCACCACACACACAAACATACACAAAGAAAGTGATAACTATCTGAGGTGATGGTATAGTAATTAATTTGACTATGGTAATTATTTAAAAATGTATATGTATATTACACCATCAAATTGTATATTGTAGGTATACATAATCCTTAATTATCAAAAATACCTCAATGTACAAAAAAAGAAAAATATGCTTATTTCACATAATATCTCACAGCAGTCATACACACACACCCATCTGTAACAAAAATATTATAATATTTACCTTTAGTGTATACATTGCACCCAAAATATTTTTTTCTTTTCCCTAATTTTTGAAAAATTTTAGTTTCAACACACCAAATTTATTTACCATTTCATAGGATCAATATAAAATAATTGCAAAGCACTGACTTAGGGCAGCTCCATGTCAAAGTGTCCACGGGCTGAAGTGACTTTTTTAGTTCATAGTCAAAGAAGGAGTCAAGGCTAAAACTTTGTCTCTTAACTAGTGTACCAGGAACTTCTCCCACATCTCTGCTGATGTTTTTACCATTGGTAGTACTAAAACCAGCTCTGATATCAACACAATAGAACAAATTCTTCAGAATGCTGGGACTCCAGAACAGAGCATGATTTATCAAAATAATCTCATTTCATTGTAGACATGGAACTGTTTTAATAAGCCATTTTAAACAGACGATAAAGATTTTAAATGTAAATCAAGCACCTGGCCATCCTTTGCCCGTTCCCACCTCATAAAGAGAGTGCTTCAGAATAGACAGGCATGAAGTCAACGAAAATTTCACTCCCTCTCCCAGAGTGTGCTTCATACAAGAAAAGTCATTTTGATGTATTTTTTTTTTTACATTTTTAGGGCACTATTTCTATTTCTATAGTGACAAAACTTGCTGTATTCAGAGCACATCTCTGTCAACCCAATACATTGGTTGCTGCCAGTTTTTTTTTAACCCATTAAAAATTCTGCAGACCTCAGAAATTCAGGTCTGGTTCAGGAAAGGAGTATCATTAGTAATAGCCAGTTTGTTAATAGGTGGGATTTCAAGATGTAATGATAGATCCTGATGTATCAACTGAAAATTGTGGTGTACACAGAACATGAGTTGGTTTTAGGCTTAGACTGTGTCTCCTCAATTGTAACTATAGCCACACAGTCTTACTTTTGCTACTCACTCCTGCATTATTCTAAAACAAAATTTAGACAGGGCAATTAAGTCTCTGCATATCTCCATGACAGTATTCTTTTTTTTTTTTTTCAAATAGAGTTTAAAAAATCAGAGGTAAAAGTTACAAAAATGTTTATTGCATTATTGTTTATAATTTTAAATAGCAAAAAAGCATTAAAATGTTCCTATTCACATAACATTCATGCAAAGTAATATTATATAAGTAAAAATACAAAAATGCTTTATGTGTCAACATCGATATATCACAAAAACGATGTTGAACAAAAAAGCGCAAACTTTACGAAAATTCCTACAAGATAATAGCAATAATACAGTTAAATGTACAAAACTGTACCATATTTTTATGGATACATAAATATAGAGTAAACTGTGTATAAGGATGTAAACCATCAAATTCAGGGTACTCATGTTCTCAGAGGAGGGGATGGTTAAGCATGGTAACCTGGAGAGATACCAAGGGAGCTTTCTATCTGTAAATACTTATTTCTCACAAAATTCCAAAGCTGAGTAATGGGTTCCCAAATCTGTGCTATTTATGATTTATTCTTTTTGTTTGTTTGAAACTTTTATAATTGCTCTTCAAAAACAGCACTAAGACAAGATTCCAGGAAAATGATTTCTAATGCCAACTCTACTGCTGCTCTAATGTGTAGT